TTGCTAAAGAAAGTTGCAACTTTTCAAGCACTTTCAAGGTAAGTTTTCAAGATTCAAGAAGTAATTTGTTAGATTTTACAGTGCATTAGTTTACATTTCTACTGTTTGTGAATTTACAGAAGTTTCCCTTCTGGAGTGCAGAGTTAGAAAATCTCTTCAAATGACTTGTTGGATAATTTTCTAGGCTCGGAGGCTGAATCACTGCTAAATGCGTCATCACTGACAGGCTTGCGTACATATTTACAGCTGTTACAAATCAAACAGCATGCATTAATAATCCACGCACGCAAATCCTCAAGCTATGAAACATGGTTTCTACCCCACATTAGCTAACCATACATGATTTAAGGAGATATTTTTATTTATTTATCAATCAAAACCTTTGATTTGTGAGACTTATTGTTATTAATAAGACAGTTTGGAGCCAAATGGAGAAGACAGAAATCGAAGGTGTTTAACTCTCAAGTCCAGACCCTCGACAGGTCAGATGGGGCAACAGACCAGCTCTGATGTCACAACGCTACACATGTCAGAGGCTGGAGCTCGGCCACTTATGGCCAAATGCTCTGCAGGACAGCTGACAGGGTCCCGCCCACTCCCACTGACACGCCATCTGCCATTGCTGCACCGTGCACGCTCAGCGCACACTAGATGCAAACATGCAAACACTTTTAATTTTCCAGGAGACTCTGTCAAGACGGATAAAGGTCGAAGCGCCCGAATGAGACAGATGTCATGGAAGTGACAGGGGGTAATAACGAGTCAGCGTTTGCCACAATCACAACTCACTGCAGCGCTTTAATGACAAGGGTAAAAGCTCGACGCCTGTCACAAATCTCAGAGGTCTGACTGTTCGATTAAAAGAAAAAGAAATTAGAAGAATTTTCATAACAAGGCTGCCGACTGCAGTTTGAAGCCACTATGTGATGCTGTATGGATGCAAATGTGCACAACCATAAAACCAATAACTGCTGCCTCAGTGAGGAAATCTAATGACTCATCGTGTTTCCAGCTGTACTGCGGTGCAGTCCTGGCTAACGACAACTGGTATTACTGTTATATTACAGTACATTTAATAAAATAAAAACTCATCAGCACTAATAAAATATCTCCTAAGTAGAAAATCCTCAGCTTATATTGAAATCAAGAGTAACTTGGACCACGGTTTAGGAACCATGTGGTTCCGTTTTCTGGACCTTCTGCAGCTTGGACCCACTTTCCACTGATGATTAAAGTCCAACTAGATTCTGAAGAGATCTTTAAGTTTTAACAATTTTTAACTAAATTGAACAATTTTTGTTTGTCTTTTGTAAAACCAATGCGTACTCACCATTTGGGGCTGCAGAGGTGTTTCAGTAAAGTTTGAGCGTTTTACCTGCCTGAGCACATAATGTTAATGTTAATGACTGGGTTGAAAAGGGCAAAGATGGGTTGGTTTTGTATGAATCTGCATCCGAGTTGGAGCACATCTACTTGGCCTAAAAGCAGAAATCTGTGATTTGTTTTAGATTGCACCATCTAGAGGTGGAAAAATGTATTGCACCTTAAACCCCTCTCACTACTTCCATGATTACAGCTGGAAGCAACACCTCCTATTCGTCAACGCGCACCTCTAGCTGAGCCAAAACACACATTTTTACAATTATTATTCTCATTATGTTATATATATATATATATATATATATATATATATATACATATATATATATAATAAAGGGGCTCTACGAAATGGGCTTAGCACAAATAAGACATGTATGTATAGCCTACGCTGTATCACAGTACAGGGTAAGACCATCACTTTTAAAGATTTCTAAAAAAAATCGTACATAGTTCTTGAATGGAGAAAACTCCGGATCGCTACCTTAAAGTGGAACTATTTACGCTTTTGGCAAATTGTAAAAAAATAAGGGATAAAAGGAGACACACAATGAACTCCATCAAGACAACAGACAAACATCCAGAAAAGAAAAGGAATATTCTTACATGATAAACAGAGGCTTGGTCCCGGGGCGGTGAATCCCTCTGGTTTGTCTGAAAAAGATAGTGGGAGGGGCTTTGGCTGTGGTGGCTCCGCCTCTTGGCACGCTTAGCCGTGTCATTGGAGCGTTTGCCTGGGCGAGCCGTGTGGGAGGAGTAGTCATCAGAGCCGGTCCTTTCGTCCCCACCGGACAATCCCACATAACGCATCAGAGAAGCGTCTGTGAGACGAACCACCAAAGCTTTTAACTGCAGCTCCAATGCCCACATCCAGCAACAGCAGCCTTCAGCAGCACATACATAAAAATCAACCCCTAAAGGTTGCATCGTTCCAATTTATTCAAGCGAGGGAAGAAATGAAAACTATTACAGATTTTAATCTTTAATTAGAGCATGAATTCTGGGTTATTAATCAGGTGTTGTGACGCCCTGCAGACAGAGGTGTGAACATGAAGATGTTCTAAGATACCAACATTACACTTTGTCCTTGGCTGTGCTTTGACTAGCCTTTAGCTCATCAGTCCTGTCATATATAAAATATTTCTATGAACAGAGGCTGTTCAGAAAGCATTTCACAATGGTGTAACCCCCAAAAAACATGTTTTTGTGAAATGAAAATAAACATTCTTCTGAAAACATAATAACATTTTTAAACAGGGATCAGGTTTGCATCTTATCCACTTTCCTAACTTCTCTCTAAACTCGGGTTCTCTCCACCTCCTCCCGTCTGCAGCTTCCACCCTCTGGTCCTCCTCTGGTTGCTTAGCAGCGGCCAGAGGAAAGTGAGACACAGAGGAAAGCTGCTGTCAGTGTCACCATGGCAACTGTATGAGTGATTCAGGTGGAGGTCAGGGAGAATGGCCTTTCATTCCTCCTCTCTCACCCTTCCCTTACTTCTCCCTTTCCTATTCTATTCCTTTTCCAGCACTGCCTTTTGTTTTTTCTGCCCTCCTGTCAAAGGTCCGTCTTCTTCCCCTCCGTGATGCTGATCTGTAGACATATGCTCTGATCTATTCATCACGTCACAGAAATAGGAACATTTTTATCTAAGGGGGAAATAATTCCACTCACCTCTGCGGGTTTCTCTGTTGAACTTGGCTGGGTCCTCGTAGTCGCCCACCCAGTTGCACTCCGCAGGCATGGAGATGGGTCTCAGCCTGCCTACAAGTTCACATTCAAATAAAACAATATTGGCTTTGCAAATATCCCCGCTGAGCCTGAAACTCCAGAATTACATCCATGAGTTATAAACACCGAGGCAGCATTTAAACTTCAGACTTGGAATGATTTTCTTGAGAAAACTTGAAGCTTATGTTATTCTGAGTTGCTGCACATACTTTTTATGCATCCAAGAAAGCTCAATGTCACACACACACACACACACACACACACACACACACACAAAGACTTGATGATGTCTGACCGTAAGTGGGCGTGGTGCAGTACACAGGCTCGTCCTCTTCTTGCCGGCGAGACTCTTCATCCAAGAATGAGTTGGGTGACTCGGAGCGCTTAGCGGCGCTGAGGCCACCATGGTTACGAGGTGCCTCATCCGTCGACAAAGCTCCCGTCTCGTCTCTATGGCAACACCAGAGGCAGATGAGGGAACAGATCAAAGCTGCCGACAGTTGGTGAAGTTCTGTGGAAGAGCTACCTGGGTGTGTAGGGCTCAGCAGGTGGAGGGGGGATGAAAAGGTCTTGGAGGGCAGAGCTTTTGGTGGGTGTGCCCGAGGGTGTGGCCGAGCCGCTGCCTGGACTTCTGGTTGGCTGTAAAAAAACACACACACACAAATGTAGATAAAGAAACAATCAACTATTGTTGTGGGGTTTTTTTTTGTTTGTTTCAATACTAAAACTGAAAAAGCCCCAAATTAAAAAGTTTGATTTGCTGTTAGCTTTCAAAGAATCACGGTTAATTTACAGCCACGTGAAGTCCAACAACAGTGATGCGTATGCACTTCTAATGCGTTTCCTCCTCTAATCAGTCAGAACTCTAGAGAGGAATTTCATAATCAGGTGATCTCTGAGGAAGTGGGTGGAAATCCATCAGTTTTTTCCTTCCCATTGAGTCTGTTTAACTGGGAAACAAACTCCTGCTGAGCCACAGCTCCCTGACCTAATTACACGCTTTGGCTGCGGCCGAGCAGGAGGAGGAGGAATGCCGTGGGGAATTAAAGTGGGCCATCGTGACACTTTAATAAAGTCTATAAACGGTGGAGCCAATCCCACCTGCAGAGCCAGGGGTTTCCAGCGCATGTTCTTCAACAGGGCGGGGGCGGAGCTAAGTGTGCTCTGTGGACGCTTCTTCAGGGTCAGGGACACGACGCCTTTATCGGCCCTCAGAGAACCCACCAGGTTACGCAACTGCCAGCCCACCTGTGGATCAAAGAGGACACAAACCCGGATCATTTGGGGAATCATCTCTAAATAATAAGTACAACAATAAATATTAATTCATATTAATTTTACTCCACTTGTGAAAGCATGCTGAAGTTTGAATTCTGTCCGCGTCGTGATTGCTTGTTGATGCTTCTGTGCAAAGCAAGTAGGTGGTGAGGTGGTAGCTCTATCTATAGAGCTTCATGTGATGTAACCTGCCCTCATTTTCAAAACAAAAGCATCTTATCACCCATCTTTTTTACATTTTTACCCACTACTTGCAGAAAGCCACACCTACGCCTCTCGCCTGCGGCGGATTTGTGAACAAAAACATATTGTAAACAAACATAAAAATGTCTGCAGGGACATAATACTCCATGATACTCCAAGCCACAGCAATAGAGACCAGGAGGGAGAATTACAAACCTGAAATCTGTTTGTGATGGAACAGAACGTGTCAGTTCTCATGCAGATCTAAACATCATAAGACCAGAAACTCAGACTTGAATTCAACAGATTTTTCTATTATACCTGTCAGAAATTACAGAAAGTTCTTAATTATTTCAAAGAGGCAGAAGCAAGACATGATGACCTGATAAATACGTTGAAGTCAATCTGTTTTGAAGTCAAGATTTAGTGCAACCATATGGAGATATGGAACAGCTGTAGAAAAGTGGTTGCCATCTTCTGGATTTGCATTTGTTTGGACAAAAACAGCGACTCAGATGGGATGACCCATTGGGAAAGCCCACAGTGTGACACCACATTTAACCCTGTCAAGCCTAATGAATCCAATGTTCTGAGGAAAAGCCTCAACTAAAAACACGCTGTTAGCAGCAGAAATGACCACTCTTACAACCACTCTTTCAATTTTGGACCAGTACATTTGGAGATATTCTGGCCAATACGTTGTTTCCTTTATCTGTAAAATCTGTCCAAGAAGCCATGACAGTGACACAGATATTGAATTTCTCTCTTGGGACACTCTCAACACTATTTGGGGTCTTGTCCGGGATTACAACCAGCATTTACAAGTGTTTGAATCATGTACATGGTCACACACATGAGTATTTAATAAATCCAACAGCATACACTCATATTTCAAAAGTGTTCTGTAGTATTTAGTATGAATGAATACCTTTGAGTCATTTTAATTGGAAAACAGCTCTGGCGCTCCTGTTTCAAGGAGTGGGGGACAGAAAACGGCCGGGTTTGAAGTCTTACTCATTTATAGTCATGACACGAGGGCATCTCGCCTCAGATTCGCTAACAGCAAAATTACTCTTCCACTGCCTCCATTCTCTATTCTTTCTTGGATAAAAACATGCAATGTTGATTTTTTATCTCCACAAATCCAGACGTGTTCCACTTTGGTGTGAAGTTGGTAATGCTAATGGCTAACTTCTACTAGCTGAGACGTGCTCTCCTCTCTCCTGGGTGCTAAATCAACAAACCCTGTTATAGTGCGAGTCCATGACTGCTAATTTACTGCGTAGCCTTTTCTGACCTGAGCTTTTCCTCAACAGTTTTCTATCTGAGGCTAATGCAGGAAATAGGGGTAGAAGACTACATTCATATTCAGCCTGCATGTGAAACTCAGAGTGACCAATTATATTTCTAAAATAATAAGTATTATACATTTCTCAGACAACCTTTAAAGAGCAAGTCACCCCCAAATCTAGTTTTTTTTTGCTGACAAACTACATAAATGAGTGTCTAATCATGCTGTAGACATGTGCAGTCGATAAATTGGCACTTTAGTGCATCTTAGTTTAAAATCAAATATTCTGCCTAAAACTGTCAGTGTTGCGCCCTCTTCAGGTAAAAACTCTGCACTGCATTTGACTTTAAATCTGTCATTGTTATTGGCTAACAGGTACACCATGATGTTAGCTGGTACATTTTGATGTCACAGTGTTGTTGTGGGCCTGTGTGTGTGTATTTGTTAGCAACTCTGCCCTCTCGGTCTGCCAGGCAACAGCATTTGTTGCATTTTTCTAACAGGAAGTGGGAGTGGAGTAAGACTCTGGCAGGGTGCGACTTGCTCTTTAAATATTCTAAATGAAAAAGGCACCGGAACTGTATTCTTAGAAAAAGCAATTTTATACTAGATTTAGAGAAAAGATCCTATCTTAAAAATCCAACAGAGTGACCAAAAATGTATCAATAAATTTTTAAATAAAAACACATTTATTTATTTATTTAGAGCATGCAGGAGCACAGACGTAAGATTAAACCCACCACAGTTTGGTGATTAACCTGAATGACTTCATCTCCTGCGTGGATTTTCTTACAGCGGTCGGCCGGAGACTGAGAACACAAGAATCAAGAGGCAGGTAGAGGATTATGAATCCATTTGAGCTCATTGATCCTCATCCGACACATTTTTGAGAATTTTCACAACAAACCGTCCTTAAAAAAACAATGACATAACAAGGAGCCGTGCACAGTCATCCAAATGGAGTCTGAGAGGATGTTGTGAAAAGGTAAGCTGACAGGTTGGCTGAAATAAAATAACAGGTTTTTGGTAAAAGTGAAAAGCATCTCTCACCCCCTCAGTAGTTCCTGTGATCACATGAAGACCATCGTAGGTCGATTTGATGTACATTCCCTGATGAACAAACGCAAAACCAGATGGAATCAACTTTCTTGAAGATCTTATGATTTTTGCTAAAGAATAAGTCGCTACTCAACATCACAGCTCAAACGCAATCATCTCCACGCCTAACAAACATCAAACTAAAGTTAGGATTTGCTCTGATCTGAAGTCCAGTCACTTCTTTTCTTCTTCTTCAGTTCTGGTTTCTTTGCTGCAGTCAGATCAAAAGAAAACATTCAAGCAGCTGAACTTTTGTCCGATCCGATGTTAGATTCGCTCCTTCTGGTCCGAGGGCTGTCAAAGTTGGTTTGATCAGAGTTCAACGTCTTCAACTTTTCTGGATTCACTGATTTTAACACACACTAAATGATAAATGGTTGTTTTTATTGGTATTGCATATTTGTGTTGTGGAATATTAAAGAGATACTGACAGTTTTGGCTTGCTTTTAGCGCCCCCTAGTGTCCGTCAGTAAAAGGGTTAAATTTTATCTCATCGCTTTGCGTTCTTGATTTTAACACCTTAATCTAACAGTTGAAAGGTCTCCTCAGCCTTCATTAGTGTCTACAGGATTGGTTCATCACTAAATCAAATAAATCAGCTGTAATCACAATCTAAACCCACTCTGAAGTTGCAAGTGTGGTATTCTAGCCACAGGTGGCGGTGGGGTCTGAGTGACATGTCATTAACCCGGTAAAGGGTCATTTTAGTACATACTGGCTCAAGAAAATAAGAAAAAGTGGAATATACCTTTAATTTGTTTCAATTTGCTGATAAAAAGTGCAAAACCCCATCTTATCAATGCAGGTATCTTTGTGTGGAAAGAGGAATAAGTCAGAATGAGATTACAGATCTCAGATTACAGGTAACACGACCAAACAGGCAGCAGCTGAGAGCATTACCAGGCCTTCTGAGGTTTTGATGTTGGTGAGGTGAACCAGCTCAAGGTGGGCCGACTGGGAAACCAGCGGGTCCGACGACACGCACACAATGTGCTCGCACACCTCCGACAGAGTCTTGCACTACAGAGAGATGATAACAAAGACGGGGGTTAAACGGGGGTTTTATTGATTATCAGGGAACCATTTGAGCTTCGTGTTTGTCAAAATTAAACCGTAAAGAGAAATCTCTTCACCACAAAGCGACTGACTGCTTTTCTTTTTGGCTTTATCAAGAGAAAAAAGTAGTTTCCTTGCAAACTTTTTTTCTTTCATTAGAAGTCAAATTATAGAGTATTATTCCCTGTGCCTGCATGCAAATGAGTTTACTCCACAAGTCCACAATTCCCTTCTCTCTGCGTTCCTGCAGCACATCAATTAACCTCAAAAATATGGGCCCTGTTCCGTAAATCTGGTACATCTGACGGTTTTTGCTGTATATAAAAAAGCTGCAACATCCAAGAGTTTCATTTTTCCAGATATCTGAAAAATAACCGCATCAACCCCAGAAATGATGGAGGTGAACCTAATTTTTTCTCATTGCTGTGCTGAAAATGACTTTCTGATAAAAGAGCAGTATTTTTTTTTCTCTTGGCAGAGACAACAAAACCGCATTCAACTGCAGGCGACAGTTTTAGGCATCATTTCCCTGGGAGAGAAAGGTTCGAATAAAAACTGCTGACTCCATTTTTGGATTTAAAACTTTCTTTGGGAAGTTTTCTGCCAAGTCGACAGTAAATTCCCAGCAGACTATAAAAGATTTGTCCTGCAAGCGAGTTTGTTGATCATTTCCTAACCTGTTCTGTCCATATTGTAGGTAATGTTGTCATTTCTCTGAATACATCTCAACATCTTGGTCTCCAGCCTTTGGGCTTCAAGAAGCTCCTGTTTCTTAATTTGACCCTGATGAATCGACTCATAGGTCCTCCTCACCGAAATGTCAATTAGTCACAACATGGGAAGGCAGTGTGGAACTAACGACGTTAAAGACTGCTGTGTTCCATTAATTAGAGATTGGCAAATCAAAATGTCAGCTGTGAAAAAGGTTAATGAAACGTCAGCTTGCATTTAAAAAAACTCATCTACATATAAGTGATGCTTTATCAGGAATAGAAGAAGCCAACGACTTCTTTAGATGCAATTTTATCGTTTTAAATGCAACAAATGCACTTGTATCAACTTTTGTTGTTTCAGACTTGAAAACGAGACAGATACGCATGCTCCCCTTTCTACTGATGCTCCCCATGCTCCCCTTTTAACTCATTCACTGCCATTGACGACTTATGTTGTCATTTTAGATCCAACCGTTCACTGCCGATGACGATTAAAGTCGTCATTTGCATTGTTTTACTGTTTGGGCGTCTGAACGAGCCCCTGTGCTGACTGAGAGAACAAACATCTCAGCTCCGAAGATGGTCTTCATCCACATACGTCGCATGATTAGGAAGCAGAATATCCATGTGTTAGGAGATCGTTTTGGGCCATTCCTGTAAAAAAAAAAAGTGAGGCGCGATCCGTAAAAGTGTCTGCCAATCACAATTCGACAACGGATTATGAAAGAACGGATAACGCTCAAAACACGCGGCTTCTTCCTGATGTAAGAGGTGAGTCTCCTCTTTGTTTTGGTTGTTTTGGTTGTTTTGGCGTCGACATCATCCTAGCGCACAACGTTCTGTGACTCTTAAAAAAACAGTAAAAACGGTGAGAAACGCTGGCAGCGAAGCGCTTTACCGATCAGGAAATAGCTGGCAGCGAATGAGTTAAATGTAGTCTTTACAAAATATTGGGGCAACGGTTCCCAAAGTTGGGATTGTGATTCATTTGAGGGGTAGTGAGCCACTGCTATATTTTGGGAGACAGATCCTTCAGCTATCCTACGCAAGCCCACAGTTGCACCTTTTCCATCCAATAAGGATCGGTGATAGTTCAGAGCTGGTGCCGGAACCCGTGCATAGTTGGCTTCTAGCAGTTTCTTCCAAAGAACCGGTCATTTGTTGACTGATGTGGGACCTAGTTGTCTCTGTGACATCAAAATCGTCCCTACAAAACTGTATCACATGGGGACAAGAAAACTGGAAGCGTGTAAACAGAGATTTTAACAGCTCGTCATGACCTTACAGAGCACGGTTACTTTCATGCTTCCATTCCTTCCTGAATTTGCAAAGATGTGTACATCATGTTTTTGGTGCCCTGACACATTAGTTGCATCACCATGCGGGCAGGGTAGAAGGCAGTTCTTAGCTAGCAGCACATCTGGCCCAACCAAGACTTGACGCTAGGTTAGGCACCAAACTAAGAAACGGACGCTTCAGCATCTGCTGCTGCTAGCTCAGGTTCTGGCAGTGAACTGGAACTGGAACCAGCTTGGTGGAAAAAGGGAAACCTGATTGCATCTACATTCTGATGGCATGGTGGTGACTATAGCCTAGCCCTAGGCATGAGCTGCTTTAAAATCTCAGCCACATTGTAGCATGCCAAAGTTTGCACTACCCCAGCCCTCGTCCAGGAGACTGAAGTAGCCGGGTCTGCTTACATGTTCTGAGATTTTTTCTTAGTTTAGGTTTTGTAAACTCATTACCGGTTGAACTAAAGCCCCCTTCAGACAGGCCATGAAAAACGGAAATGTTGCGGACTCTGTCTGTAAGACCGTTGTGTCTGAATACAAACATCCGGATAACGTGTTCCGGAATTTAACCGGACGAAGCCCCTAGTAACAGGTCCGGACTTGTTACGGACAGGGTGGCTGCTTCAGACTGGTGAGGTAGAGTTCCGGACAAGGGGGAGGGGGAGGAGGAGGAGACCAGGGGACGCTGTGCGCATTTTGATAGCCCACTGCTGTGTCATGCGGCGAACCACGGCAGCTCGCCTCCTACGGTACAGCCTAGACACGCGATGGAGCGCTTCACACCGCTTCAGTGATTCCTTTAACCATTGAGCTTCATCATCCAGGTCTCTTATGCGTCTTCGTGTGCGCAGAATTATGCTTAAGCGCCTCGTGATTTTTATCTTGAGAGGCGCTATAGAAATGATAATTTCTTCTTCTTCTTCTTCTTAACATGGGTCCGATTCTCCCCCCCACCCCCCACCCCCCGCCGCCGTCAGACATCTGGAACTTTTCCCTGCTGTGTGAACGCAGCCGAAAGGACAAGTTCCGGTACAAAAGTGGTGTGTCTGAAAACACCGTTCCGGTTAAAAACCGGATTGAATTGTCCACAAATGTTCCAGAATGTCTATCTGAAAAGGGCTTTAGTCACTTTGATCCATCAACATTTCTGCCACTCTTACAAAAAGGCTCACAAAGGTACACTATATGCCAAACATAAGTGTTTATGCACTCGTGAACAGACATCCCATTTCTAATTTGCAGAGTTTAACCTAAAGTTACTCTGCCTTTTGCAGTTTCAACTCATCTAGGAAGGATCCCGACAAGGTTTGGGAGTGTGTTTATGGGAATTTTTGATCCTACTTCTAGACAGAGATGTTGGATGCTGGATAGTGGTCCCTGTAATTCACCCCACAGAGGTTCTATCAGGGTCAGGTCAGAACTCAGGCGAGTCAAGTTCCGGCACACCAAACTCACTCATCTGTTTCTTTGCTAAAATAAATTAATCCTTTGATGGGGTGATTTGGCAACATTGTAGCAAATTTGGGAGGGAAACCCAGACTTCCCTCTCCCCAGTGATTCTCTCCAACTCCTCTTGGGACAGTCTCAGGCGTTCCCAAAGAAAAGTGACCAGGAACCACCTGAGCATTCCCTCCTGGTCTCTACTGCTGAATACAGCCACCCTATGGAGAAGGTTCATCTCATCTGTTGGGTATTTTTATAATTGTACCTTTTTGAGGCCTAAAAGATGCCCATTTTGTGTTATTAACACTTCATGAATCTCTGTTTGCCAACTGTGGCTGTTCATGAAAGGTTGAGCAGAGAAGCTCGTTTGCAGTCAAGGATGTTGACTGTGGATTTCCAAAGAAACCTCTGTACCTCTGTAACCTGAGAAGGCCCCGCCTTCTCCTCCATCCTTTGAATAAAGCCCCTGACGAACTGAGAACACATGGGAGTGACGTGGGAAAAGTCTCGGAGGAGGCTTTTCCCTGCGTTAACTCTCCTTTATTTTGGGGACTCAAGGTAAAATGTCTCCCTTGTTGTCATGTGTGTTAATCTCAGGTTTCAGGGTTATGGAGATTAAATATTACCCCACATTTAAGTACCTAACATTTTGGTGGAGAATGCGGGCATGCAGAGCTGGTGAGCTGATGGCTTTCCCCAGGAGCAGAGGGGGTCTGGTTAGCTCCATGGAGGGGTTTCTGCGCCCAGCTCTCGCATGACGATTCATGGACATTACGAATAATCTACTCTCTCTCTGTGTGTCGTCCTTTAAGGTAATATGGGATAAATGAAAAATTATCTATCATCATCCATGTGTGCCTGGGATCTTATTTTTCCAGTTACAAATCAAAATGTTGAAGTTTAGTCTTTTGGCGTAGCTCTTTCTTTACTTTTGCTGACAACAATGCAGTATTTCCACAAAGAAAACACACCTTTGAAGAGAGATGAACACTTTCATCTCTGGCATGCTAAACACCACCTGTAGCTCCAAATGAACCTACGAACACCGGTGCTGCTAATCTCCATCTTTTGGGGGTTTAAAAACAGCTTTTGGAATTGTTTCTGGCTTTTTGTGGAGTATCTTTTCAGCGAGAATGAGGGAGTTGAGACAAACAAGCGACATCTGGCTGAGGAACAGGAACTTACCACATGAAGGATTTTGTTCTCCGTCTCAAACACCGTACAGTCCTGAGGGGAGAGACGCATTTATTGTAGCACCAGCAGAACATCCTGTCATGCACACACTCACCATCTCACGCTACAGAATCTCTGTCTGGGCCTCGCATTACTGAACCTGAACCACCTGCATACTGTACACAGATGAAGAAAACACACACATACACACACACACAGAGAGACAAACATGCATTCAGCTCTTATTTATACACACATCAGTCACGTAAAAGACAACCGTAAAGTACACAAATAGCAAAGAAATAAGGCTTGCTGAAGGATGCAGGGTCTGCTACATCACACCCACGCATGCATGCTCACACACACACATGCACACACACACACACAGAACGCTCATAGGGGGATATGTCATCCCACGGCAGCTCCTCTCAACCTCACACTTCAAGCGGAGGAGAATAAAAGCTTCAAAACACGCACGCAAGCGCTTCCACACACCTGCTGTACAATGGTGGTGAGCTCCAGGCAGAGCTGAATGACATTATTTCGGGTAACTGAGTAGTCTGCCACTGCAGCAAAGGGAGACCTGGGAGGGAGAGATAACACAGCAGAGTGTCTCTTCGTGTTCCTGCTGCATTAGGAGACGAGCAGAGATGGACAGGAGCATCTTAACAGGGCAGGGACGGCGAGGTGTCGGAAATTCAAAGGAACGTGTAATTTATTTCCTTTTTGAAGCAAGATCATTTTTAAACAAAAAATATAAAAGGACTAAATAAATAAATGATGATTACCCCCTTGATTATGAAGAAGCGTGCCATACAGATCAACAATTGGAGATAGCTAAAAATGTTGGAGGACTTTGCTGATCTGTGAGAGAAATCATTTCTTAGCTGAAAAATCTGAAATTAGATCATTTATCTGTAACTGAAGCCTACTTCTTTAAATAACTTCTTTCCTAAATAAATGCATAAACATAGTTGGTGCTTTCCTATTTGTTTACATATAGAGGACACGCTAAAGCCGGCTGATCATGAAGCCAGATTCAGGGGTTAAAACTTGGCCTTCTGGGTTTGTTTTCTGCCACTTCAGACCAAAAAAGTCGTCGTCGTCGTCTTCCTCCGCTTATTCGGGTCCGGGTCATGGGGGCAGCATCCCAACTAGGGAGCTCCAGACCGTCCTCTCCCCGGCCTTCTCCACCAGCTCCTCCGACAGGACCCCAAGGCGTTCCCGGACCAGATTGGAGATGTAACTTCTCCAACGTGTGGGTTCTTTGTCTGGAGATCGGACCGCCAAGGTTCCCGCCTCGGTCTGCCACCCGGTCCACATTGCACCAGACCCTTCATGTTCCTCCTGCGGGTGGTGGGTCCACAGTTGGATGAGCCCATGTATCCGGTTCGGGCTGGGCCCGGCCGGACCCCAAGGGCGCAAGCCCGGCCACCAGGCGCTCGCTCACGGACCCCAACCCCAGGCCTGGCTCCAGGGTGGGACCCCGGAAACCCTCCGGGCCGGGTACTCCGACTCTTTGTTTGCATATTCATGAAAGATCCTCCCAAAAAGTATGACAACTATTTAAAGTCAGATACTCTAGATGCTTATTATCTCTCACTAATGACACAGAAACTTATTAGTACTGAGAAAACACAGATGGAGTCAGTTGTAAAGCTTTTAATACTCCTGCATACATTATTGATGCTTTTAGACAGGAACAATGAAGGTGAAGCAAGCTCCTACCGAACATCTCAGAGACCTTTAGATGGTGATGATCTATCAGTATCATTTATTAATGTTCCTGTTTGACTTCCTCATGGATGAAATATGTTTGTGAAAAATGTTTAAAGTGATACAAACTCGGCCTCGAACAGACTCCGACGTATTGAAGAGGGTTAGGGAATATCTTCACCGTGCTTTTATTTTGGTGACGTAAATTAACTTAAAAGCAATCTGAATTTTCAGGTTAACTTAATTTTAAAAAATCCTATTTGTACTTAATTAGACATTTATATTTTTTTCATGTACAGGTGCTGGCCAGTAAATTAGAATATCATCAAAAGGTTGAAAATATTTCAGTAATTCCATTCAAAACGTGAAACTTGTACATTATATTCATGCAATGCACACAGACCAATGTATTTCCAATGTTCATTACATTTAAATTTGATATTTATAGGTGACAACCAATGAAAACATCAAATCTGGTATCTCAGAAAATTAGAATATTCTAAAGGCCAATGAAAAAATGTTTGTTTCTCTAATGTTGGCCAACTGAAAAGAATGAACATGAAAAGAATGTGCATGTATAGCACTCAATACTTAGTCGGGGCTCCTTTTGCCTCAATAACTGCAGTAATGCGGCGTGGCATGGACTCGATCAGTCTGTGGCACTGCTCAGGTGTTATGAGAGCCCAGGTTGCTCTGATAGTCGTCTTCAGCTCCTCTGCATTGTTGGGTCTAGCGTATTGCATCCTCCGCTTCACAATACCCCATAGATTTTCTATGGGGTTAAGGTCAGGCGAGTTTGCTGGCCAATCAAGGACAGGGATACCATGGTCCTTGAACCAGGTGCTGGTGGTTTTGGCACTGTGTGCAGGTGCCAAGTCCTGTTGAAAGGTGAAGTCTGCATCCCCATAAAGTTGGTCAGCAGCAGGAAGCATGAAGTGCTCTAAAACTTCCTGGTAGACGGCTGCATTGACCCTGGACCTCAGGAAACAGAGTGGGCCAACACCGGCAGATGACATGGCACCCCACACCATCACTGACGGTGGAAACTTTACACTGGACCTCATGCAACGTGGATTCTGTGCTTCTCCGCTCTTCCTCCAGACTCTGGGTCCTTGATTTCCAAAGGAAATGCAGAACTTGCTTTCATCAGAAAACATAACTTTGGACCACTCAGCATCAGTCCAGTCCTTTTTGTCCTTGGCCCAGGCGAGACGCTTCTTGCGCTGTTTCTTGTTCAAGAGTGGCTTGACACACGGAATGCGACACCTGAATCCCATGTCTTTCATGAGTCTCCTCGTGGTGGTTCTTGAAGCGCTGACTCCAGCTGCAGTCCACTCTTTGTGGATCTCCCCCACATTTTTGAATGGGTTTGTCGTCACAATTCTCTGCAGGGTGCGGTTATCCCTAGAGCTTGTACACTTTTTTCTACCACATTTTTTCCGTCCCTTCGCCTGTCTGTTAATGTGCTTGGACACAGAGCTCTGCGAACAGCCAGCTTCTTTAGCAATCACCTTTTGTGTCTTGCCCTCCTTGTGCAAGGTGTCAATGATTGTCTTTTGGACAGCTGTTAAGTCAGAAGTCTTCCCCATGATTGTGGTGCCTTCAAAACAAGACTGAGGGACCTTTTAAAGGCCTTTGCAGGTGTTTTGAGTAAATCAGCTGATTAGAGTGGCAGCAGGTGTCTTCTATATTCAGCCTTTTCAGAATATTCTAATTTTTTGAGATACCAAATTTGGAGTTTTCATTAGTTGTCACTTATGAATATCAAATTTAAATGTAATGAACATTGGAAATACATTGGTCTGTGTGCATTGCATGAATATAATGTACAAGTTTCACGTTTTGAATGGAATTACTGAAATATTTTCAACCTTTTGATGATATTCTAATTTACTGGCCAGCACCTGTAGATTCAAAATATTTAAATCCAAACATTTCAAATTAATTATTGTAAGATTTGACTAAATAATTTCATTTGAGTTTGATTCTAAATGTTGAGATTTTTCTTCTTATATTTTGATTTGACTCCAAATATTTATATTTTTACTTTATATCTACTTTGTTTTTGTTTTTTTTTGTTTTTTTAAGATTTCAGTTTATTTTGCTTTTGTGGTGTGTGAGGGCTGCTTGTTCCTCTCTACACCTCCCTCTGTTTTTACAAGTTCAGGGGAAGAGTGACCGGACCGGAACTGAACGATTTTGGTTTTGTCCCAATCCCCGTACTGGAACTGAGCCCTGCGACCTTTTGTGAAGTGCACTGAGAGGAGCTGCGCAGTAAGGCTTCGAGTGCGTAGCACACAAGTGTGCCAAATTGGGATAGGGAGTATTGCGTCATCGTGCTGTTTGTGCTACTTTTTAAAAAATCTTTATTACCGATTTTCAAACAAGTTGACTAAATTTAAATTAATTGTTTTCTACATAAAATCTTAGTCTAAAACATTTCGAGCATGAATAAATATCAATAATCGTCCTAAAAAGAACTTCTTTTATTTGAAAACATATTTTCAGAAAAGGCTCTTGAGCCATTGTGCCGCCTACTTCTAAAACTCCCCACGCAGCAATGGATTGTGGGTAATACCCTTGCCCAAGTATGCACTGAAGCAGACTTGGGCAAAGTGTGGAACAAGGGTGCAAAAGGGGTGTGCGGTTACCTTCCACACTTAGGAGTCGGGGCACACTATGCACTCGTACCCCTGGCCGGGAAAGCGCAATTAGGCGCGAAAGGGCACAAGTGTGGAAGTGTGAGTATTGCCTCTGTCCTTGTGAGGACTCTTAAGGGGGGAGATGTTATGGTCTCTGCCAATGTGACAAATGCCACTTCCATACTTCAGGCTAAAAGAGATGTCACTGCGCCAGTGCGACAGGAGGATTGCTTGACTGGACCGTCCCTACTCACGCCGCTTTCATTGACTTGACTGATGGCAGCCTAATTGCACCGAGTGGCTGCACCTGTGAGTGCAGCATAAAGGCCTGCTTAGCTCAACTTAACAGAGACATCGGTGTGATTGTAGAGATCACATCAGGAGCTTCTGCTTGTTAGCAATGTTGGTGAAACCCTAAATGCGGTTTTTAATTATAAAAATAAAAAAAAGACTCCAAAACGTGTTTAGTCTCCATTTGTGTTTATTTATTTATTTATTTTACTATTTAGCATTTCTGCAATAAGATTTAAAAGCTAAGAGCCCTCAGTTGAGATCTGGTTGTTCTTTATAAAACGTCTTTTAGTGAGAAACATAAGAACTCTGAGAGGAGCCATTATCCCACTTGAGATTTGTTTGCTATTTTGCCGTGAGCTTTGTCGGCTCCCAGCTGCTTCGTCTTTTGTATGCTCAGTCACTTTCCACTTGTGCACGTTGCACATTCTGTTGACAAGTTTACGTTTGAGGAATAAAACCTGCTTTTCCTGTGAGAAGAGAGGTCTTTAAAGCTCTCACGTGCAAAAAAATGAAAACCTGTAACTCTTCAGGTGTGAACAAGGTGTTGATGATAAAGTGCACAGTGGAGATAATGAGCTGTTAATGCACTAATGACTGCACACACACAGGGTTACAGACACAGCAAAGTTGTAGTGCAGTGTCATGACACATACGCTAATCTCAACCCAAATGGGACCATTTTCTTCAATGTTCCAAAGACCCAGATAAAAAAAATCTGTCACAGCCTCTCTAGTGAGTTATTGGTGGCATGTGTGATTTGGGTCATCAGTATTGAGGCTGACTGCTATTTATACATGAACAACTTGAGGCTATGCAGACTGTGTGCTTACAGCCAGGCTCCAGCCCTAAAACCAACACTTTATTTTGTTAAGTCTCTTCAGACAGGAAGGACAAACTTTCAGATTAGAAAAATTTTAGGTTAACTTATTTT